TGGATGATCTTCAGCAAAATCTTAGTTACAAGCAATAGCGGTGATATTATTCTATAACATGAACAGTCTTGTGGGCTACCTTTCTTTGGAATGGGCACAGATATTAATTTCTTCCATTCAGTTAGCCAAGTAGCTGTATTCCAAATTTCTTGGCATAAGCAAGTGAGTTCCAGCTTCTCCAGCTTGTTGAAACATTTTTATTGGTAGCCCATGAATTCCTGGAGCCTTGGTTCTGGCTAAGCCTCCAGTGCAGCTTGCACTTCTTCCTTCAGAATCATTGGTTCTTGCTCATAATGACAGAATGTCAACTCGTAGTTTTTGGTACAGTGACTCTGTGTATTTTTTCCATCTTCTCTTTATGCTTCCTGCATCGTTCACTGTTCTGCCCATAGAATCTTTCAAGGTTGCAACTTGAGTCTTGAAGTTTTTTCTTGTTTTTTTCCCAGTTTCAAATATGCTGAGTGTGCTTTTCTCCTTTTGGTTTTCTCATTCTGAATCTCTGCACATTTCATTATAATATTTGGCTTTGTCTTCTTGAGCTGCACTTTGAAATGCTCTATTCAACTCGTTGACTTCATCATTTGTTACATCTGTGTTAGCTACTTTATGATGAAGAGCAAATGTCAGAGTCTCCTCTGGCATCAACTTTAAATCGTTTCGTTATTTCTTGCCTCTTTATGGCCTTTTGCTTTTTTCACGAGTGATGATCTTGATGTCCTCCGCAGCTCATCAGGTCTCCTGCCGTTAGTGTTCAACAGGTGAAATCTGTTCTTGAAATTCAGGTGGGAGATAGTCAAGGTTATATTTTGACTTTCATTGATTGGTTTTAATTTTCTTAAGCTTTATTCTGTACATATAGATGAGCAATTGATGGTCTGTTCCAGTCAGCCTCTCATCTGGTTTTAACTGCTGATATTGAGCTTCTCTATTGTGTCCTCCCACTGATATAGTCTATTTGATGTCTCAGTATTGCATTTGGGGAAATCTCTGTGTATTCACCCGTTGTGTTGTTGAAAATGATGTTAGCTGTGAACAATTTTTGAAAATTCCTATCATGTGATCTCAGCTTCATATCTATCACTAACATCATTTTTTCCAATTACTGTTTCTTCTTCTTCTTCCTCTTTTCTAATTAATCATTTTATTCAGGGGGCTCTTACAAATCTTATAACAATCCACCATTCAATAGTATTAAGCACACTTTTACATATGTTGTCATCAATACGTCTAAACAATTTATTTCTACTTGAGCCCTTGGTATCAGCTCTTCTTTTTTCCCCCCTCCCTCCCCTGTCCCTTCTTTTTTTATATCTGATAATAGTTCTATTTTGAAAATGTTAGGACTCAACATCTTCTGAAAGTATTTGGAGGATTTTTTTATCACATTAACCAAGCCTAAGGCTGAAACAGGGCCCACTCTGTGGGAACAGGGGAGGTGATCTCCTCTCATTAAGATGTGCAACCAAAAAAAAAAAAAGATGTGCAACCATAGAAACTTGAAATGGGATCACTCATAGTCAGAATAGACTCAATAGCAGGAGTTTATATTTTTTTTTGTTTAAGATAACAGCATATAGCAAAATCACATTATTTGTATTTGTGAAATAATAAAATGGTAGCTCACTGTTATCCAAGTTAATATAAATCAGCTTGTTTATTATTGTCATTATTAGAAAAATTGTCATATTTCATTTAAGTTTTTAAAATTACCTAAAGCCAAACTGTGTTAGGCTGGGGTGACTAGAGAAACAAATCCAGGGACACTCATGTATGTATAAGAAAGAGCTTTATGTCAAGGAGTAAATTGTAAATCAAACAAACATCCCAGCCCAGTCCAGATCAAGTCCATATGTCTTATATTAGTCCATGTCTGACACTAGTGCATAAATCCCTCTTCAGACTCATGAAGCCACAGGCAATGATGCAAAATGCAGGAACATCATTGGTGGGATCAGAGTCCCATGGATTCAATGGTGGTGGCTCTCCAAAGGGATTCCATAGCAGGAAGGTGAGGCTGAGAGAGAGGGTAAGTTCCCAGGATCCTTCCTATGAGAAGGCCACACACACCAGGAAGTACCTACCATCCAGCTGTAACCTGATTGACAGACTAGACTCCACCCCTACACTTTCATATCTTCAGGTTGACACAAAATTATGCATCTACCACAAAAACCCATTGCCATGGAGTAGATTCTGACCCACAATGATCCAAAGGATAGAGCAGAATCACTTCCTAAGTGTACTAGTCTGGGTACTTTGGAGAAACAAATCCACAGCAACTCATGGATAAGAGAGAGTTTTATGTAAAGAAAATGTGCATCA